TGTCTTATCTGGAATCTAAACTGAATTTAGAAAAAGTAAAGATGTGCACCTTTTAAGATTTATTTAAAAAGGAACATAATTAAAATATTGAAGCAAGTCGGTATATAGATAATTTTGTTAGAGTCAACCTATGTAGTACATAGGATCAGGGACTTTAAAAGTACGAGCTCCAACATTTTCTCCGATCAAATCACTCCATTGATCTCCAATATTACCAATAATTCTATATCCAGCCTTCACCAACGCTGTTCTCTTGCTCGATTTAAATTTCACTGCTGATCCCGTATCATTTGCTCCCCTGTCATTGTCAGGTCAAACAAATAAAAATGGAAAAAAAAAATAGTAACATATATGTGGTAATAATGAAATGGAATTTGCTTATTACTTTAGTATGAGCGCTGCCCAGTTGGCATAACCAGCTTCCTTGAGATTAACGATCCTTACTTGTTTGAAATTCTGTTTCGTCCCTGTAATGAAAATTGGCTTGATTCCCAAAGACAACACAGTATTGTATACCTTAAGTATCGATGGAATGGCTGGCGCTTTTCCCTCAGCTATCCATGCATCAAACTTTGTAGCGTTGTACGGTTTAGCCCTGCACATAAATGTATGCACAATGAAATTGTATTGTATTTGTAAAAACTAAACGTAACATGCACAAAAAAACTAGTAATACCCAAAAGCAACGTCAGATCTAGCGTAATAAGGAGAATTTGAGAGAGTAGTTTCATCAATATCAAATACCCAAACGTCCTTTCCATCTCCACTAAGTTTGAGGCTTTTGGCGTACTCAATAGCCTGCTTGGCTACATATTCACAGTCGTGGCGATATTGTTTGCCCATCATGTAGTGACCTAGATAGTTTGTACATTCTTTAGGCACTGATCTCCAGTTTTGTAGGTTGTTAGTCTCGATGGCGAGGCGCCAGCTAAGACAGTCTAATTGTGGGACTGTATAACCAGCAGAACCAGTTTGTGGCCTTAGACGGTGAATTTCTACTACTTGGCTTATCACGGCCTCTTCAACATTAGAGGCCAATGCCACGGCTACTATAGATGAAAAAAACAAGAGAAGAGTGAAACACCTCATTTTCACGGAAGAGAAGAAAGAAGATGTTGAGATTATCATATTGCTGGGATATGGTGTCTTAAATAAGAGCCTCAATACATCAACTACCTCAAAAGCAATCAATTAGCTAGGTCATCACGTTTTTCACAACATGAACTATGATTTGACAAGATAAGCATTCTGTGGTTCTCTTTAAAAACTTTTTTTTCTTGTCAGTTGCTTCTTAGTAACTTAGAGCTTGTGCTCCCACATTTTAAAAAGAAATCACCCAACTTTTACTTGTCATGGCGTTTGAAGAAAATAAAAAAAGACTTCTCAATCTCACAATTCTAAATTATTAGAGTTATGTTAATTGTGTTAAAATTGTCTTGTGATCATAAATATATTACCTGAAATATTGAAATTAAAACATTTTCAAAAAAAAAAGATCATTCTTTTTAAAATAAACTAAAACTGAAAGGAGTTCAATATTTTTTAAACTAAGGTGAGGAAATACTTTTTAAAAGGTCTAGCGAGGAGGATTTTCATTTTTCCATCTTTAAAAGTCTTGTTTACCGGGAGATTTTCTCCTAAATATATTTATATTTTTTCAATATTAATTTTATAATATTTAGGTCGCTTGATGAAAATTATATATATTACTTATATATTTTTAATATACTTTTATTTATCGTCTAATTTATTAATATATGATTTACAATCGTAAACTTGGCGTCATTCAGTATGATAATTGTATTAGCTGAGACTATATAGCCAAATTGACCACTGAACATTTCAAAACCCTAGAACTGGGTCCGGAATACACCAAGATATTTTGGCAGTAACAGGTGTGATCCACATGATCAATTAAGTTGGATTAAAAAAATTTAAAGGTAGGCGAAGCATACCATGTCAAAAATGTATTCCACTATTACTTTCTCCTTTTCTTTTTTTTTAGCATCACTTTTTAAATTTTCTTTTTATGTATTTCTTTTTCCTTTCTTGATTTTTATTTGACAAAATTACATAGATACAAAAAAAAAAAAGAAGTTAATACTGAGTCAGATTTCATTTTCTTCCTTATTCCTGTGTCTTTTTTTATTCTTGTTTTTGTCATGATGTTTTTTGGAGTTAATTACAATTTGAACATGTAAGTCATCAATATTTTTATTAATTATAATATTTTATTACATAGAAATTTCTCATTTTTATATTAGTTTTCTTTAAATTCTTTTGCTTCAAATTTATATGAAAATTACATTAAAAAAATTGTTCCCAATTCCAATTTATCTTTTACTAATCATATACTAGTAAGTATTTGTTAGACTTGTCATGTCAATGGTATATAACCACCTAGTTATTTACGATAAATATATATTTTTAGTGGCAATTAGTACTATGTGTAAATATTTTTAAAGCTTATAATGATATTGAATCTAATTGACAATTAACTAACATCGATAAATATTTTAATATTCTTTATTAAATGTACAAATCTATTACCGCTAAAAATTATTTTTGTCAAGCTACAAACTAAAACATTTCATTCTTTGTACGGAAAAGGGCCTAAAATACCCTTAAAGTATTGAAAATGGTATAAAATTACCCTCCATCCACCTATTGGCTCCAAAATGCCCTTTTCATCCACCTATTGGCTCCAAAATACCCTTGTCATCCGCCTTTGGGTTCAGAATTGACCACTTTTTTAATTGTTTTAAAATTTAACTCTTTAAATATTTTTTAAAATACTTGGCGTTCAACTATTGATTATAATTTTAATTTATTAATATAATTTATAAATCAATCCACTACCCACTCATTACTAACTAAACCTTACTCAATTAATGATTCAATTATAATATCAAAATCGTCATAAACACTACTAAAACACGACGAAATTATAGATTCCTTAAAATGACATACAATATTATTCGAGTCCGAATCGAAACCCCAATTAAATTTAGGTTGAGCCGCTTATTTAGGAGGACACTTTCTTTCAAAATTGAATTAGAAATTTATGATTAAAGGTAAACAAGTAATACATCCCGAATTAATTCATGCACTTTTTTGTAAATATAATTTTTAAATATTTATGATTTGTTTTAAAACCTTTAATATATTTGAAAAAAAGTTACCTATGAAGTAACATCACATAATTGAGACGTAAAAATAATTAAGATGAACATAATCAGACTTTTAAGTTTATCGGTGATTTTTATTTAACCACTTGAATGTATGATAATTTACTTCTATAATTTGTAAAAACAATCAATTGGCAGTAGCTTGCATTAATAATGTGACAGTTTATTAAGAGGAATTTAATTAGTAATGGGTGGGTTATGGATTGATACATAAATTATACTAATAAGTTAAATTATAACAAATAGTTGAGCACCACGTATTTTAAAAAAATATTTAAATAGTTTAAATATAAAACCGTTAAATAAGTGGTCAATTTTGAACCAAAAGGTGGATGACAAGGGTATTTTGGACCTAATAGGTGGGTGGAAAGGGTATTTTGGAGCCAATAGGTGGATAGAGGGTAGTTTTATACCATTTTCAATACTTTAAGGATATTTTAGGCCCTTTTCCGTTCTTCGTAATGATAAAGGGAGTGGGAAAAGGAAAAAGGAAAAGTCAAATACATGATAAATGATACTGGAACAGTGAGCTTATAATCATATCTCACATGTGACAATATTAAAAAGTTACTCACCCCCTTTGGTAATTATTAGCAATTAGCATGCTTAATTAAAATTTCTTAGAATTAACCAACGTAGTACATAGGGTTAGGGACTTTTGAAAATACGATCTCCAACGTTTTCTCCGATCAAAAATCAGTCCACTGATCTCCAATATTACCAACAATTCTATATCCAGCTTTAACCAACTCCGTTCTCTTAATCGATTTATACTCTACTGCTGATCTCGAATCATTTCCACCCTTACGATCATCGCGATTATATCAAAAGTATTACTGTATATCTATATAAATATTTAAAACATATACTTAAATAGTGTCATGTAAAATAAGATGCAAGTAGAAGTATCGATTAATTACCTTAATACGAGCTTTAGCCAGTTACTATAACCAGCTTTCTTGAGATTAGCAATCCTTGATTGTCTAAAATTCTCTGGAGCCCCTTTATTTAAAACGGGCTTGATCCTAAGAGATAACAGGGTCTTGTATACTCCCAGTATGGAAGGAATGACTGGCAATTTTCCCTCAGCAAGCCACTCAATAAACTTTGTACTATTCAACGCTATAGCCCTATATACAATATTTCGTATGGCATGACTAGTTGCATATATATAGAAAAGGAAAAAATGACAGATATATTCCGAGCTATCGTAAATGGCATGCAAATATTATTCGTCATACTTTTAGGAAATTTGTGCCCCTCTTGTTCAAAAACTAGAATTATATATATACTCTTCACTCTAACAGAATATTAAATAGGGACACTTGGCACAATCTCATCCATCGATTCGATATTTAATAAATGTCGATTGTTAGATAAGATTATGATACGTGTATATCCATTAGTATAAAGGGTTTATATGCTCTAGTTTTTGGACGGTAGGAACACCAAAACGGAGGGTATCTGCATACAATTTATGATAGTTCGAGAGCATATTTGTCATTTTTATCCCTATATAAGCTGATCACTCTGGTCACCCGGATCTTGCTGACTCTATTAAATCGGAGCATTCTGATGCTGTCTCACATAAACTCCTCAATAGTTCCACCCCTCCCCTCTAAGGGGAGACAGGGGAACATAATGGCCCACCATCACAGGGAATCTCAAAGACCCGAGCTCGTCTTTCACCGGCCTATTTGTACCCAGCTACAATCTCTTCTCTTATAAAAGAAAAAAGGGCCCTTTGCCAATCCTCAATCGACAGCAACTCCGTCCTAGCGAAGTAAAAAGAATGTAGTAAAAAAGAAATCATGATTTATTTTTGTTACCCAAAAGCAACATCAGGAAGAGTTGAGAGTAGTCTCATCAACATCAAACACCCAAACGTCCTTTCCATCTCCGTTAAGTTTGAGGGCTTTGGCATACTCAATAGCCTGTTTGGCTATATACTCACACTCACGTCCATATTGTTTACCCAACATGTAGTGACCTACCTAGATTGAAGTCATTGAACACTCTTTAGGCACCAATTTCCTGTTATGGAGGTTGTTCGTCTCCACGGCGAGGCGCCAGCTAAGACAGTCAAGTTGTGGTGGGACATTGGACGGCAGTGCCATGGTTACTATAGTTAAAAAAGAAGAGAATAGTGAAAAACCATATATTATTCATGTTTTTTTGATATATAACCAAATAGATAGAAGAGAATAAATTAAGAAGATATTGAGATCATATAGGTGGGATATAGTGGCTTAAATAAAACTCTCAATTGCAAGGTTTTCAGGGTGTTTCATAACGTGAATCATATAGCTGACTTTCTCTTAATTTGTTTACAGCTCTTTACGTACGTACACTATTTTGAAAGTGCTTCTCACAATTATGAAATTTATAAAATTAACAATATCGTTTTTTTCCCTTAAACATTTTCATTCCAACTAGGGGTGTACACATGGCCCGAATTAGTTTGAATTTTTCAAATATCAAATTAATTTAAGTTGAATTTTTAAAATTTTAAGTCAAATCAAATTTATAAAACTTGGGTTATAGAATTTTTTCAGGGTTTTCAATAAAGTAATTTTACTCCAAAGTTTTCTAAAGTCCTACTAAAATACAATTATTTGTGGAGTTTCTAAAGAAAATAACACAAATATGAAATGAGTGATGACACTAATATATTCAACAAAAAATAATAATGAAATTGCATAAAATAAATATTAAAAATTAAAAAGTCATAATGAAAATGATCATGATTAAAAGTATTAAATCATGCTATATAAGCCTAATAAGTATTAATACATGATTAAACGTTAAAGAAAACTAAAATTGAGTAATGTAATTTAAATGTTTAAGTCAGTGTAAAACTAAAGAACAAATAGTGTTGAATTAAGTTTTTCTTTTGTTAGCAGTACTAGTGATTTGAGTTTTATTAAAGTTATCAATATCTATGGACTATAACCTTCATTGGAACATTTAAAAATTTATGTCTCAAAACTTGAAATAATATGTGAAAAGATAAGAATTATGAAAAAGTTTAAAAAATATTTACGAATTATATCAAAGTAAATATTTTTATGTATAGTAATAAATTTTAAAATTATATATATAATGTCAAATTAATTTGATCTCAATGATTTAAATAATTATTTTTTTTATTTTACTTTTCACTGCATGTATATTAAAAAACACGCAATTCAACTAGGATCTAGCGTACTTAAAGATGGACCAATCAGGCCAAGATATAATTTCATTTAATTTGACATAACACATACGGGTAATCACTATCATTTTGGTTTTTTATTTGATATTTGGAATATGTACTAGAGTGCCGAGTAAATTTTAATTTTACAGGATTTTTATCAAAATTTTCTAATATTCAAAATTTAAATTTGAAATTTTTGATTAACGATTGAGCAGTACATCATTGTACGCTAAATCTTATAACCATTATCTAGTTGTCTTTAGTATTGCTTCTAAATAGTGCAACTAGTCGTGTTTCATACGCACGTACTAGTTGCAATATAAAATGTAAGGTATAGTTATCAAACCCCTAATAATGAGTCCCCCATCACAATTCGTTTTTTTCTATGGCTTTTATTAGAGAAAAAAAAATAGAATATAATATGGGTTTAGAATTATTGCAGACATACTCATGCGGTCCAGTACTCATTAATTATATATTAAGTTATACCGACATTATCACTTGATAGCTAAACTCTGGATTAATTATACATTTAAAGTTTGAAATTTAAAAGAATTGAATTATTGACATTGTAATTTTTAAAATTTAAAGTGGCATTATGGTCAATCGGTAAGTCCACTCTACTATTGAGATTTGGGCTATCCCTTTGAAAAGGATGTTCGAATGACAAAATTCACTTTCAAATATCTATTGTCAAAAGCTAAATTAATTGTGATTACTATTGGTGTACTTGACATATACTACTAGCTATGTCTCAAAATATCTGTATCTTTTATTTACATATCTTTAAAGAAATATTAATTAAGAGTAATGATATTTTATCTTTATTAATATTTTCAGATATAATGTATTTTTATTAATCTCTCTATTTATATAATATATTTAAAGTGTGTGTAATCTTCAAAAAAAGAATGAGCAATTACAATTAAAAGGTAAAATAAGAAGAAGAAGAAAAAAGTTAGTCAAAAGGACAATAATATTTTGAAACGAAGAAATGTACGAAAAATCATATTATTTGATGAAAACCTTTCAACATCTAAACCTATCTCCATCGCACAAAGCAATTTCTATAATGGTTAGGTATGGGTTGTTTATTTTTATAACAGAAAAAAAATGTAATTTCTTAATTAATTAACATCGTGTGGTGATCTACTCCTCTAGAGTCTAGGCTACAATGATAAATTAAATTTTAATAGAGATGTGCTTCTTTTAATAACAAAATTGCCAAGAAGAAAACAATTAAAATGTTGAAGCAAGTCGTTATTATAGCAAAGTGAGGGTGATGAATAAGAAAAGTCGAAATACATAAAAACATGAAATAAAAAAGCCATCCCCCTTTGTTGATGATTAAAATTTGGCCAGAATCAACTAATGTAATACATAGGGTCAGGGACTTTGAATGTACGAGCTCCAACATTTTCTCCGATTAAATCAGTCCATTGATCTCCAATATTACCAACAATTCTATATCCAGCTTTAACTAATTCCGTTCTCTTGCTTGATTTAAATTGCACTGCTGATCCCGAATCATTTTCTCCCCTGTAAAGTTATCAGTCAGATAAATTAAAACGAAAAAAATACGTAACATTACTGAAAATACACGAACCTATTACTTACTTTAGTATAAGTGCTGCCCAGTTGCTATAACCAACTTTCTTGAGATTGACAATCCTAACTTGTTTGAAATTTTCTCTTGTCCCTGTAATGAAAACGGGCTTGATCCCCAAAGACAACACAGTCTTGTATACACCCAGTATCGATGGAATCGCTGGCGCTTTTCCCTCAGCTATCCACGCATTAAACTTTGTGTTGTTGTATGCTATAGCCCTGCATAAAATTACATCGAAATACATATATCTAATATTAACTTTGGAAATATAATGTCTATTTTAGTTGGAAATCAAAATGCTACTATATGTTTTGAATTAAAACAAATTCTTGCAAAAATGGATGGTAATAGCGCTATTCATGAAAATTTATCATGCTATGTACCTACTAGAAAACGTAATAAGCGGACATACACATAAAAAAGTAATTTTTTTTTTACCCAAAAGCAACGTCAGATCGAGCGTAGTAAGGAAGATTTGAGAGAGTAGTTTCATCAATATCAAATACCCAAACGTCCTTTCCATCTCCGCCAAGTTTAAGGGCTTTGGCATATTCAATAGCCTGTTTGGCTACATACTCACAGTCACGTCGATATTGTTTACCAAGCATGTAATGACCTACATAGTTTTCACACTCTTTAGGTACCAATCTCCAGTTTTGAAGGTTGTTCGTCTCCACGGCGAGGCGCCAGCTAAGACAGTCCAATTGTGGGACGGTATAACCAGCAGAACCAGTTTGTGGCCTTAGACGGTGAATTTCTACTACTTGGCTAATCATACCCTCATCTTCAACATCAGAGGCCGATCCCACGGCTACTATAGATGAAAAAAACAAGAGAATTGTGAAACACCTCATTTTGATTGAAGAGAAGAAACAAGATGTTTGAGATTATATTGCTTGGATATGGTGCCCTTTATAAGATCCTCAATCTCAACTACCTCGCGAAACCTATCAAAGCGGCTTTGTTGAGAGTATAATTAACTAATAAAAATATTTTATTTTTAATAGTTTAAGCTTTAAGATGGGATAATTACACATTTTACATCATTTCACAACATGACGCATGATCACCCAAAATTGAAGCTCTCAAAATTAAATTTATCTACGCCCTAGGTGTAAATTAGACTTTAAAACCTAATTTCAGAGAACTATGTCAATCACGTGTTTAACGACATGAATTATGATATGATTTGACCGGATAGGCATGTTTCTCTATGAGGATTTGTTAAAATCATTCTTTCATAACTTAGCTTGTACATTAAAAAGGGTCATGATTGGCTGGAAGGATTTCCATTTTTCATCTCTAGTCTGTCAAAACATTTTCTTTAACGATAAGTTTTTTAAATTAGAATTTTATTTAACAATAAATTTTCTAAATAACATTCTATGTTAATTGTACTTGTAGAAACACACCGGATTGACATCATTTAACCGTGCCAAGTAAACAAAGGACGCAATCAACCCAAATCGACCATAGGCCACCCAATCATCCACATCCTAGAACTTGATCCTGGGTCTAGAATACACCAAAACATTTGGGCTATCAATAAATCGCGTTAAATGACCATAATAATCGATACTATATTATTTGTATAACAATTGTAATGGATGTTATCCACATTATCAAATTAAGTTAAATTATACTATAAATATCCCTATCGATCTCTCGATCAATATTGTGTTCTTCTGGCTATATTGATGAGTAATAGTATTATAAACACTGACAAGCAAAATCATCATCCTCTTTCCAAGCCGGGACAGGTAGAGTGCAAGTCAATATATTGGGGGTGACGTACATGTATTTTATTTATTCATACACCCTCTAATTTAAAAATAAACAAATTTTTGAGGCGTGAAGAAAATTTATTAGTGATTTTATCGAAAGTCCATATTATTTTTTTGCTTCTTCCAGAATTCTTTTAATCTAGAGATATTTGAAAAATATTATTTTCTTGCTTCTTCCAGAATTCTTTTAATCTAGAGATATTTGAAAAACTTACTCATTAAATAGATGAGTTACTTTTGAAGAAAATAAGTGATACATCTTAGGCTTTAAAAAAAAATTAATTTGTTTTGGAACATAGAATAAGTGTCGAAAATGAATTTATTTTGAAGTGGAGAGAGCTATGACGCTTACTTACTCTAATTTCACGTATTCTTATGGTTCTCATAATTGTTATTCTAACGACATCAACATCGAAATAAACAAAAGAAATTCTACTCTCTTTCAAAATAAATGATATTTTTTATTTGGATATGCTCTTTAAAAGAAATTATTCATCCTTAGAATGTAAGATATATTTTACTAATTTA